CTACTAGCTTCTTGTTACTACTAGTAAGGCACTTGTTACTAGTAGCGATGCACTTGTTCCTAGTAGCGTCCTTGCTCATTGTGACATCGGGTGGCTCGCAGTGTGTGTGGACCGCGGCTCGGTGTGGAGGAGCATTCCTTCGGATCTCTCCAGATGGCCTCACAGAGGAACTCAGCAGCCAAGCAGCAAAGGAAGATGCGCAAAAAGCCGGGAAATGGAACCGCTACTAGGAGCAAGGACGCTACTAGGGGCTCCGGGCCTTACTACTAGGAACAAGGACGCTACTAGCTGCGTGCTTCCGTCCCTTCTTTGAGGTCCCTTCGACTCTGTCCCTGGCGCTTTTTGGTGGAGACTAAGGCTGCACAAAGTGTGTCTGACCTGGCTCAGTGTCCAGTGGAACGACAGATGACGGGTCTACAATTATTACCCCAGAGTCTATCAACCCCATTTCAGCTGTAGCAGGCTCAAGCGTTTGATCTTTCTCTCTTTGATGAAACGGAGTGAATTTTGAGATGGGGTTTGTAGGTTTGCTGTTCGGTTGGAGGCCGCTAGTAGGAAGGAGTGAGTTTTTTGAGAGGTTTCGAGAAGCCATTTCTCCAAGGACTCTTGTGACCATCTCAACGGTGGGCTACGGAGACCAGGCAGGAGCCGAGTCCTGGTCCTGCGAGTCGTCTCACCCGCTCCGTCAGGTACCGAACACCGACTTGGGGAAAATGGTCGGCGGCGTCACTGCCTGAGACGACACAAGTGATGACAACGCTACGATGCCTCTGTGTCACGGTGTTCTGATCGCAAAGAAGAAGCAAACATGTTCACACGCAGTACGCAGACAGCTGTTTTTCCCTTCTCCCACATTGCTTGCCTCCCTAGGGTTCTTAGGTCCGAGATGGACTTCTTTGCCCTCTTCCAGCCTCTTCCTAGTTAGAACCTACGAATTCTCTTCGCGAAGGCTTTGGAATTCTATGGATTTCTTATTTCTTTCTGAGGTTGCCATGCTCTATGGCACTGTCATTCTGGGCCTTCCACTCTTCGTAGTGGGTGCCACTTTCGGACAGGACGTAAAGCTTGGTCCAGTCGGACGCTAGTGGGAGGAGAATGGAGTTGAAGGAAATCAGAATGCAACTTGGACGTAGCGGCATGTAGAATTTGTATAGAACACGGGTCGTTTTCAGATGAACCAGGAGTTGTCGGGACAGAACGCTTCAAGACCTAAGACCGCCCTCTTTCGGAACCAGGGATGCTCCGCAAAACTGATGGATGCAAGGCTCACACAGAAGTACTGGTTAGACTCGGTTCTTTTGTAAGTTTCGTTGAATGGAGGCCGTCGCTACTAGGGTGGAGGGCATCGCTATTGGGTTGGAGATGGTTGGAGGCTATCTCTTCTAAAGAGTCCTTTCCTATTTTCTCTAGCTTCCTTTGAATGACAAGAGCTACGAACGGGGCTCCTGGCCTTACTACTAGCAGCGATCGGACGCTACGAATAGGGTGGCATCGCTACGAACGTAACAAGCTACGCGACGGACGAAGACGACGCGTCGTCTTCGACGCGCTTCGCTGCTTCGAAGGAGTACGACCGCCTCATGAAGGCGGCCAAGCGGAGGAGCTGAGCCCAGCGAAGGAGCTGTAACAGAGAGGAGAAACGCTAGCGTCCCTTTGCTCCTAGTAGCGATGCCCTTTGTAATTGCTCCTAGTAGTACGGCCAGGAGCCCCTAGTAGCGTTCTTTGCTTTGAATAAGAGCTGTGAACGACGTGCTGCGTGGAGAGTCCTCGTGTCTTAGGTCCGAACTTCAAAACTCCAGAGATGGAAATGCTGCTGGGAACTCGAACCTTCGGATTTCCCACGTCGATAAAGGCTAAAAAGACCAGAAGCGGGACCTCGACTTTCTTGACATCCAAGCAGTTGCCTTTTGTGCTAGTAGTAAGGTGTAGACAAAATTGTATAGTTGAGTTCAAGAGCCAAGACTTTTCTGAGACATTCTTGCAAGAACCGTTCTTGCTGGGTAAAAAGCGGCACTTGAAAAGCACTAGGTCCAGTGCTAAGTCCTAAGCAAGCTGAGACGTGCGAGAGAGTCCTACCTGAGTCCCACCTGAGTCCATTGAGGTCAAAGAGAGCCACGCACAGAAGATGGGGCAATTCGTGAAGGCCATGAGCAACTTCATCGAGGCCTTTGATGTCTTGGCCATGTCTCTGGAGGACCTGTCACCTCAAATTGGGCTAATGCTTTTAAAACCAACAGCAGGAAGTAAGGAAGGAAGGAAGGAAGGAAGGAAGGACATAAAGGGTCTAAAAAGGATTTGAAATGAAAGCAAAAGAAAAGGACAGATAAAACACGACAACGGAATCATGTCTTAGCATCCTTTTCGAAAGAAAACGAACAAACACACACACACTTCAGCTCTGAGGCGAGGCTGATTCTCAGACTGGTGATACCGAATCCCAGACTCACAGCGGTCACAAGCTTGGGACAGCTGCAGGAGCTTGGGACGGTCTTGAAGATCCCCACGAAGATCCGTAGCAACTGGCAGGCGGGAGCCAGATGTGGAAGCACGTTTCTCAAAAAGAGCCAGATGTGGACGAAAGAAACCAACAATTCCAATTCTTCGAGATGTACATTTTCTGGTGACCATGCCCATGCCATGCCCATTAGACACACACACAGAATCCGCCAGGATGGTGTCAAGACCGCTTTGTTGGATTTCCAGCCTGTGCCAGCGCTGGATTTGTTGTGTACCCGCGTTGGTGAGCCCAGAACTGGGTGCGAACAACGAATCGAGTGAAAGGGCAATGTTGAAGATTTGTTCGAAAGTAACACGTGCTTTACTACTAGTAACAATAAAATACTAGTAGCGATGCACTTGTTACAGTAGCTTATTGCTACGAGTAGTGATGTACCTTGTTACTTGTAGCTTCTTGTTACTAGTAGTAATGCACTTGTTACTAGTAGCGATGTGCATGCGTTGGTTTTCCATCTTGGTGGCTTAGGTGATTGTGTACTTGTCAGAGATTGAAGAGATGTGGACATCTGAAGAAGAGTCCGAGGCCAGGTCTCACTCACTAGTAGTAACAAAAAGCTATTAAAATTAAAATTAACTACTAGCTTCTTGTTACTACCAGTAAGGCACTTGTTACTACTAGCGAGGCACTTGTTCCTAGTAGAATTCTAATGTTTCAAGGTCCGAGGCCAGGTCTCACTCCACATTGGTTTTACCAAGAGTCCCAAAACGCACGCAGCGCTGTGCAGGAGTCCGTGATCATGATCCACGCGTGCCGTCGATTGAGATCCGCATGGTACAGGCGAATCCCAACGTGGCTGGAGTTCGCCGCAATGGCTTCCCGCAACGGTGCTGGAGTTGGACATTTTTGCGGTTTCCGAAGATTTGGTTGGGTTTCTCCGAAACTTCCTTGCCAAAACTGTTTGCGAGAGAAAAAGACCACCTCTTCCTTGCGGCACAAGGGATGCGTTGCCAGCCCTTAGGGGACGGGATCGTTTCGGAATCCAGACAAAAGCTCCTTGAAGAGCTCATCAACCTCATGCTCCTTGTCCGTTGCAGGTTAGCTGTGACCAGCTGCCAGCTGGGTAACGTGCCCAGCGAAGCACTGGCCAAGGCGAAACACACAACAGTGGCCTTGGTTGTTAACTGTTGGAAGAAGGAGGCCATCGCTAGTAGGTTGGAGGCCATCGCTGGAAGGAGGAGAACAACAGATTTTGGACTTCTCGGTGACTCCGTGCCAGGTGCTGAACGATTTCCTGGAAAGTGATTCTGGAGGCCAATGCCAAACAAATTGCTTGGACCAAATGCCAAGCATTTGATTTTGTGTGGTCCAAAAGTTCAAAATGCTGATATCCCACGATGACATTCTTTGGACATTCGTCGAAGTGGGCCGTGCGGCGCCGGGCCTACGCGTATCGAGGATTGCCTCTTCAAACTCAGAAATCTCAAAGGAACACCGAGATGCAGGTCGGAACGTGGGAAGCAATAGACAAGAGGTGTTCTTGTTTGTACCTGTGTGTATTTTTTTGCCTTCAAAACGCAGTGAAAGATGCTCAAGTGACTCAAGTGCTCAAGAATTCAAAGCTCCTTTACTTACAAGTTCTGCTGTCAAAACAGCACAAGCTCGTTCGTCTTCTCGTTCTCCATCCATTTTTGCTTCCAAATTGGAGCTCCGAGCATCGTTGTTTGCTCTCTATGACAGGTCAACAAGGCGAGTTTCGGGCCCGAGAATCGGTCGTCTCTGTACCTTGAGTTTAGAAAGAAGGTGAGTTGCGCATAATTTCGCACGAATCAAACCAACATATTACCGGGTCGAAGAAGAAGAAGAAGAGGTGCATGTTTGGCTCCTTCTTGTTCTGCTCCCACGCACAACTGCTCCCGCTCCGCACAGGGCTCGCTCCGCGTGGCACCAGGCCGCAATGCTTTGCAGGAGAAAACGAGAGTCTTTGCTTTTCAGATGGTAAGGCGAACGGAAAACATGGAGAACTAACTGTTCTCCCAATGAGTTTTTGAACATGCCAAGGCTAGGTATCCAAGTGATGTAGCCTGATCTCATGTCGCTAAAGCTGTCACGGCCTCTAGAAACAAACGGAAGAGAATCGGGATGAATCGTAAGAAGTGTTTGAGAAGAGCTTTAGCTTCTTGGTGCATTCTGGTTCTTGGTTTCATACCGACTTCTTCGCTTCATCCTCTGGCACAGCTGCTTGCACTGCGCAGGAGTTTTGGGAAGCAGCGACAGTAGACTATTGAGGCGCTCGAGGGGTTAGAGTCTGGGCAGTGAACCAGTTCTTTCAAAGACCACACACAGAGCTTCTAAGACGTCTGATGCCCGCTATAACCCGTCCACTCCAGCGCAATAGTAGAGGACTTGAGGTTGTGGCAAAGCCATGGACTTCTTGATGTACAAATCGTCTGGCAAAGACAATAGGCGGAGCCTGGACGCTTCCTCTGCCCAAAGGGCACTGATAATGTATACCTAGACGCGACGACGCGATCGCAGCCACCGCAGCCACTGGGCGCGGAGAAACGGTGAGAGACGGCGGGATGACGAGGGATGTGCACGAAGGACAGGCTCCTTCATGCACTCCAATCTAAGAGCGAAGGATGTGCACGAAGGACATTGAAGGACGCTTTTGTTGAAGGCTCCTTTCATGCTATACATGAGATACAGGCCGGTGGCTTCAAATGTCTGTTTGCACGAGGCTACACTGGTTGCATTCTCAACGGTATGCTGTATTCCAATCTTGGCTCTAGACTGGCCCATGCTGCAGCCAAGTGCAGAGGGATGGGTGTGGGCCTTTGACGGCAAATGTTCTCAACGAGTGACATATGACTTTGTGACACAATGACAGGTCTGAAGGTCTAGGAAAAAAGAGAGAAAGAAACAACCCAAAGGAAGGTCGAAAGAAGAAGAGAAAGAAGAAGGAGGGAGAAAGAGGGACTTGGTGGAACTCCTGTGGAACTATCAAACAGTGCAGCTGTTTGTGGCCCAAAAAAGCTTTAGCTGTTTGTCTTGGCCTTGGCATCGTCCACTCCTCAGAATTCGACGTGATGGCCTTTTCGGCGTCGGCCGGTACACGGCCAGTCTGGAGGCTTCAAATCTGGGTGGCTTGGCTCTGCCGCGGCCCTGTCCGCGTGGAGGCGGAAATCGCCGCACTGCGCAGAGCCGGAAGTGCGTCTGTACGATGAGAGATGGCTCATGACATGGTTGGTCGTTGCTGACCGTTACTGTTCAAGCTGATTGCAGCGATAGGATGACCCATGATTTCAAAAGGTTCGATGCAAGAGTGACAGCTTCACCCTTGAGTGAAGCAGACGTCACAAGCTTCATCGACTTTGCAAGAAAGCATCGACTGTTCGTTTGCAAAACACTTTTCAGCAGTTTTAATCAACTTTCCCATAGTTTTTAAACATTTGTGAACCATCGCCGCCATTAGCCTATAGGGGCTATAGGGCCTATAGCTGAGCTGGATTTTGATCGGCACGGTCTCCGATGCTATGCCACCACCTCTGCGGCCCAAGGGCGAGCACCGTGAGGTGCGATGTCTGCGCCTCTCACCCTTTTTCACCAAACCGTGTGTTTTTCACCCATGCCATGGTCGTTGGCTCAGCGTCTCGACGCCAGGCTCCATCTGACGAACGGCCAACCCTTGCCTCGGTCTTTGCACCGCCCAAGCGGAAGGCATGAACTAGAAACAATGTTCGCTACTAGGAACAAGTGCCTTACTAGTAGTAACAAGAAGCTATTAGTAACAAGTGCCTTACTAGTAGTAACAAGTGCATCGCTAGTAGTAACAAGTGCCTTACTAGTAGGATGAACGGAAGGACAGGCGTGGCTTTCGGACCGCAGGCGGACGGGTTCCGTTCTTCGAACGCGATCCGCGATCACAGGTGGCTCCGGAGGCTATCAAGGAAGATGCAGTGAGGTGTGGAGTCGTCGAAGACGAGAAAACATGAGCGAATGAACCGACACGATCCCACTGCCCTGCAGCCCCTAACAGCTTCTTGTTCCTAGTAGCTTCTTGCTCCTAGTAGTAAGGCACTTGTTACTACTAGCGTGGCACTTGTTTCTAATAGCTTCTTGTTTCTCTTCCAAATCTCAGTTTTGTTTCAGATGTAGAAAGAGATTGAAAAACCTGTCAAAATGCGGCAGGCGGGCTGTGCAGCAGGGCTGTCCCACTCTCGATGAAGATGCCATCGATGCTCGGCCTTTTGAGTTTGTCGTTTCTTGAGAAATGAAGATGAAGAAGCTATAAGAAGCTCATGTTCTGAAGCCGTTGCTTCATAGGTTGGAGGCCATTGCTAGTAGGTTGGAGAACGCTCCATTTCCGAAGCAACGCACGCAGCAAAACGGCAGGACGAACGAAGCAAAACGCAGCTTGGAGACTTGAAGCCCAGGACTACTTGGCCAACATGGCCGTGTCCTTGGTGCAAGACTTCAACGATGCTGAATCGTTGAGACAGGAGTTGGAGGCCGGAAAACCAAGTGCAAAGACTGGTTTTCAGGGTCATCAAAGACATCATGGCACTTGGCAAGACTTGAGCCATGCAAGACTGGCAGCTTTAGCAACTGCTTCTTGCCCGTGAAAGACCACGGGACTATCAAGCCGTGATAAGCTTTGCATAGCTTTGCTGCTTTGCTCTGCTGGCTCAACCGCCCAGGAGGGCTTTTTACCTATGCTGGAAGAGTACGAGATCTCCACGGAAGACGCCCAGAGTCTTTGTGCTAGCGTGTTGCAGGCCAAACTTGCATGGTTGGTTCAGTGGTTTACCTACTAGCGATGGCCTCCAACCTAAGAGCGATGGCCTCCAACCGAAGAGCGATGGAGATAGTTTCCACATATCACTGTGTGCAAAAGCTAGGAGAGAGCTGATTTTCGAAGTTGGAATGACACTCCATGTCGCGCCGTCTTTGCAGGCCGCAGCGCCTAGTGACGGGCCGGCCGCTGAGTTGGGTGCAGTGGATGAGGCAGAGTTCTTGTGCTATCTTCCGAGACGTGGCAAGAGAATGTGTTCGATTACTGTGCATCGCTACTAGGAGCTTCTTGCTCCTAGTAGCGATGCCAGCCTAGTAGCGTCCTGGCTCCTAGTAGCGATGCCCTTTGTACTGGTAGAGATCCGATTTTCATGCTTTCATCGCACACACACACTCTTGGTGTTGGTCTCCACATATCTCCATCCAGCTTCTTTTGGCTGGTGCGTTTCAACCAGCTTGAAGTGTTTCTCAGACTCTTGTGGTTTGCTTGAATCACCGAGGAATTTGCTGCTAATGTACGGTGGTAGTCCAGAGCCATTGTTGCGAGGTGCATGTTTGGAGATCAGGTGCAGACTTGCAGATGCGCTGCCCTTGCCCTTCTTTGCATCGCTTTGCACCGCTTTGGCAAGAGTTTGATCGGTCTCTTGACGAATCGAAAGGCGTGGCCATCGCTATGGAGTGGTTGGCTCCAATGGATCTGGCAAGACCACATTGATGGCAAGGAGCTCTTTTTTTCTTTTAAGTTTCTCTGAGTTTAAGATCAATCTCACCTATCTGTTTGAGTGAAAAAGCAGAGCCATGTGCATTTGTGAGGATCGCCAGCAAAGACATATCTGGCCTTCCTGAAGATTTGCGTGTGGTTTTGCTGCGCCATGAGGCTGTTGGGAGTCTGGATGTAGAGATTTAGAGCCAGTATGCATCTGGTTTGCTTCATAGCAATTTGGCCAGTGGTTGTTACGGTGAGAAAAGCACTTACAAACAGAAAGGGGTACCAACACTACTCAGAGCCTATGATGATGATGATGATGATGATGATGATGATGATGATGATGATGAT